TATATATATATATAAATATATATATATATATATATATTTATATATATTTATATATATATAACTATACATATATGCATTATATGTATATATACAGATACACACTTCTTTCTTCGTTTGTCTTGCTTTATATATTTGTATATATCCTAATATACATTTTCTTTTATTTGCGGTGTACGTACACCCGAACTTAACTCGAAAAGAAGCAGAAAATAAATTAAAAGGAAGCGCAGGCGTGTGCCACTGTATAATAATAATAATAATAATAATATAATAATAATAATAATAATAATAATAATAATAATAATAATATTAATATTATTATTATTATAACAATATATAATTATATATTTATATAATTATATATTGAAATATGCGTAAGTGCTACAAAGCCAGAGAAGAAAAGAACAACAAAATCTTTGCTTCTCCTTCTGTGCAGACTTTGCTGCTGCTGTTGCTGCTGCTGCTGCTGCTTTGATGCTGCTGCTGCTTTTGATGCTGCTGCTGCTTTCGTTGCTGCTGCTGCTTTCTTGCTGCTGCTGCTTTCTTGCTGCTGCTGCTTTTCCTGCTGCTGCTGCTTTTCCTGCTGCTGCTGCTTTCGTTGCTGCTGCTGCTCTTCTCGCTGCTGCTGCTGCTGCTTTTGCTGCTGCTGCTGCTGCTGCCGCTCGTCTTTGCGTTGGCAGCAAAAGGGGCGTATACATGTCGAAAGCAACATAAAACATAAATTCTTCTGCTCTTGCTCTCTGCTTCTTTTTCTTACATACGAATAAAGATATATAATGCCTGCTGCTGCTGCTCCTGTTGCACTTGCAGCAGCTCTTGCTGCAGCTGTAAATAATGCTGCTGCTGCTGCAAATGAAGCTGCTGCTGCTGCAGCAGCAGTAACAGCTCCTGCAACAACAGCAAGAGCTGCTGCAGCTACAAATGCCGGTGCTGCTGCTACGGAGACTGCTGCACAAGCAGTTGCTCCTGCTCCAAATGCTGCTGCTGCTGCTGTTGCTGCAAAAGCTGCAGCAGCAGCAGCAGCAGGTTTCACCTGTCGAGACGCTGCATTGCGTCTGCAAGTTGTTCGAGGAGTCCGCTACAGCGGCTCTGTCGCCTGCTGCCAGCCGCAGCAGCAGCAGCAGCCGCAGCTGCAGCAGCAGCAGCAGCAGTCCGGGTGTCTTGGAAGCAGCAGCAGCAAACACCTGTTTCTGCTGCTTCATCCCAAGTATACTTCAACCTCGGCAGCAAATTAAAATCTGCTTCGACCGGCAAATCGGGAGAAGGCTGAGGCCTCAGACAGGGAGGGGAAGGGCACGCATACACCCCCTCCTCTGCTGCTGCTGCTGCTGCTGCTGCTGCTGCTGCTGCTGCTGCTGC